GCAACTCTGTAACACTGAAATGCTGGCTGTTCCCTCTGGGCAGCGCTGTTGCCTCCCGCCGTGGCACTTGGCTGACTTCTGCGCCGCTCAGCCGGGCCACTGTGGAGGAGCAAGCGGCACAAGCAGCCATTTGGGTGCTGTGGTCCCCATGCAGCACCCCCGTGCTGCATGGGGTGCACGGGGCTCAAATGACCGCTTGAGCTGCTTGCTCCCCAGCTCAGCTGGGCTGCTGCGGGGGAGCCCAAATGGCCGCTTGCTCCACTTGCTCCCCCGCGGCAGGCTGGCTGAGCAGTGCAGAAGTCAGCCGAGCACCACGGCGGGAGGCGAAGGGGGGCAGGGCAGTGACCCCGGCCATGTACGTCACGGCCCCGCCCCCCTTTGCCTCCCACAGTGGCACTTGGCTGACTTCTGCGCCGCTCAGCCAGGCCGCCGCAGGGGAGCAAGTGGCGCAAGTGACCATTTGGGCTCCGTGGTCCCCCGAGCGAGAGCAGGAAGGGGAGGAGAAGAGAAAGAGAGAGAGAGAGAGAGAGGCAGGAGGCAGAGGAGAGCTGAGAGAGAGAGAGGGGGAGGCAGTAGGAGGAGGAGGAGAGAGAGAGAGAGAAAGAGAGAGAGACCAGAGGCTCAGGAGAGAAGACCGACTTGGAGGAGAGACCTGAAAATCCCATCTTATGACGGGCTAATTGGCTAGTTATTAAATATTTGTTCACATGGCAACTATTGCACATGTCCAGATAAAGTTCAAACATGCCAGAGAAACACCTGATAGCCAATAATGTAGTATTGCTGAATCTGTGCAATACATGGCGAGGTCCTGTTGCATTCTGGGAAGTGGACAGGCACAAGCCTACCTACAGCCAAAGGCTCCTCCTCCAGCCTAAGGGAAGGAGCTACTGAGCCTGGGACACAAAAGAGTATAAGGGACAACAAGAAAAAACAGGAACAGGTGTGAGGGTCAAAGGGTCAAAAGTAGGGAACCTGAAGAGGACACTGAGCAGAAAACCCCTGAAAGCACCTCAAAGCTGCCAAAGTGCCAGGAGATGTGGCCCAGAGAAACTCTGCCTGGATATGTGAACAGAGAGAAGAAGGGAAATAGATCCCACAGTCACAGAGCACCTCCTCAGCCAACATCCTCTCTCTGATGTTACAGATACCCATTTTGGCCTTGTTAGGATGAAGTTGATGAGGGGGTCTCGTGGCTTTGTGGGGCTACAGATGGCATGTGCATAAATGAGAAGGTGGCGGATGGGGAGAAATGCAGCCAGAACCACAAAAGGAGGTCCAGGAAAAGCCAGAAAAGGAGCCACAACCTGACACACTCAAGGGAGGCGTGCACCAGGGTCACCCTTATGCCGCAAAAGGAATAGGCATCGGGGATAGAGGTGACCTGCACCAGGAATATGCTATTCCTTACTCCTGCTAATAACACACATTCAACATTATGGCATATGGGCCCTCCTTCAGTGCTTCAGCAGCACATTTAACTTTTTTCATGACGTAGAAACATTACTGCTTTATCTGGTGGGTGGCCTATGAATTTAGCTGAAATGTACCTTCTGCATTAGTGTGTATGGCTATGTCTAGACTTTTGCAGAAGAGCAGACACTCTCTTTCGGAAGCCCTGTCTTCCTCCTCCCACGAGGAAGAATGGCTCTTCTAAAAGAGGGTTGTTTTTTTTCTGAAATTTGGCCCAGTGTAGATGGGCCAAATTTTGGAAAAGCCTCTTCTGAAAAAACAATCGGAAAAAGGTACGCAAATTGTAGAGCGCAATTTGCCTACCTTTTTCTGATAAAGCCCCGTAGTGTAGAGATGGCCTATATGGGTATGTCTATATTAGCCCCCTAGTTCGAATGGTTGGGGACCACTGCACTAGATTATAGTGCCTTGAAAACAAGCCACATAACCTCTCTCTGCATCACTCTTCCTATGCTCTTGACAACTGAGGAGGCCCTGATTGGAAATTTGGGACTGAATGCCACAGCTAGTCCTTTCGTGTATATAATATTTGAGCCCATAAGCCTGGATACAAACATACAAAAATTTTGTGAAAGTATGGCTCTAGAACTGAACTCTGTTGTTCCACCATCTCCTTTATTTTCACACACCCAAATCCCCTTTTCCTCAAAAAACAAAAAACACCCTCCTTGACGCACCCACACAAACACCCATAGCAAACACCTGCATTCAATGAAAATCCAACTATTAAAACATACATGAGAGATAAGGTGGTAATACAAAACATTTTCTTATTGACAGACAGTTATCAGAGTAGTCCTAAGTAGACTTACATGCACGTATTGCCTTATCTAATTGTAAATGAATATAGGTAAGTAACCAAGACGATGAATGAAGTAAACCAGTTTGCCTTTTTCCTGGTATGGCCATAGCGTAAGTAGCTATTTGTCTTTCAAACCTGTCCTATGTCAGACCTAGCAGATG